AGCTATTAGAAACAAGTGCCTTACTACTAGGAGCAAGAAGCTACTAGTAACAATGTTCGCTATTAGAAACAAGTGCCACGCTACGAACGTAACAGATGCTCGTCGGCCCCTTCGATGCGCACCGCGATGAGTTCCTCGTCTCGGGGTCTCGATGGACAGCAGGGTGGGTCGAAAGCCGGACGTCGTATGGACAGCGGGTCGAAAGCGCCCGTCGTGAAGCCGACCGGACCGTGTGGAGCGACGACCGAGGTGGTTTCTTGATTCTACTTCTTTGGCACGTGCTTCGCTGGGTGGTCTCCATCAAGCTGGAGCAGAGTGCACAGCATGGCCAGCTGCTGGGCATGGTCGATGAACACGAGTCTGACCTCGTTTCGACTGAGGAGTGGGGCCATAGAATGCTTCGATCAAGGTGTGCTTTTGTCTTTTCCTTTCACATTGTTCGGACCCAGACTGTTTTGTGGCGCCCAAAAATGCCCTTCCCTGGTTGAAAGCAAGACTTAAACAACACTTTCGGCTTGGCGGTGAATCCATTCACATTGGGGTTTTGGGGTTGTTAGAATATCATCAAGAAGACATTCACAGAATACCTGGTATTCAGAAGATCCATTGGGGCTTGCGCTGCACTTGCTTCCTTCAGGGGAAATCAAGGTCTCCGGCCCTGAACACTAGAGTGGATTGTTTCAAGCAAGCTCGAGGTATGTGTGGTGGCGAGGGACGCTGGTGCTGCTGAATGGGCTCTTGTTCTGCGCTCTTGGGCTGTGGCAGAGTCTTTGCCAAAAGACTTGAGCCGAGGCTTTTTCGACCCGCGATGTTGGGAATGTCATGCCATGTAGATCAAGATTCATTCATTCACTGCGCAGTGAACAATGGTTGTTTGAAGTTTTGCCCAAAGATATTCCCTCTGCATCTCAACGAGCGTCCATGGTGGAGCAACCTTCAAAATGCTTGCTGCTGGGCTTACAGTGATTCCAGATTCAAGGGTTTCTCTGGAGATTTTTGCCACTGAATTCGCATTTGCGTTTGGACTGAAGGGAAGCAAGCAGGAGCTGCCCCAACGTGGCGCCCTTTTGTCTCTATCTTCTTCATGTGACTCTTGACTTTCACCAGATCTTCGAATTCCAACAGGCTCTTATAGAACTCCACTAATTAGATTGCCATAGTTAGATGGCCCCAAATCATATGATCCCCACCCCAGTCACGAGTGGGAAAGCTGGGTGGGAAAGCTTCCATTTCCCCCCCAACTCCCCAATTCCTTGCTCGGCCTCGAGGAGTTGGGCGCTCAGCCTTTCGGGCGAGGCAGACCTCGAGCTGCACCAGAAGCTGCTGGCCACCGTGCTGGTGATCCTTTGGGCCGGGTGGCCAGTGATGGGATGTTCTCGCGTCGCTGTTGGCCGGGTGGTCTTGGAACAAGAGGTACCAGTGGCCCTCAGTTTACCATGAAAAACAAAGGCTTTCACATACAAACACCATGTTTGTTGCTAGGGAAGACCAGGTTTTTGGTTTTTGGGGCGCCTGGTAGAGGATACGCTCAGACACTTTGGTCGCCTCGGTTTGCACGGAAGGCGTAGCGAGCTGGAGTTACTCTTGCGACAGCAAGTCTTTATGTGCGGTAGGTTTTCACACCCTTCATCTCCAGAAATGAAGGTGCCCAATATCCAAATTTACCCAAACATGTTGAACACATGTGCACCTCTTGAAACACGTGCATGTCACTTCAAATTCCGTTCAGATGTAACTTTGAAGAACATGTTTCCTTTTTGGCTAGAGTAGTGCTCACGTAGATGGACCATGGAACATTCAGCAGGTTGCCATGGACTTAAGGCTTCAAAAACCTTCGAACTGACCTTTTCTGGATGCAAGTAGTGCCAGGACTTTATCCTGTAATGTATCCCCTCTACCAGCTTCTTCAGTTTGTGCGCGGATTGAACTTGGGTTCCCAGGTTTAAGTGGCCTTGTCGAACTTTAAGTGATCGAACCAATTCGGAGCTCAGTCTGGGTCACGAACTGCAGAACCAGGTACTTTCTTGGGTGGAACGCTTTTTGAGGCGTCGCCTCTCTCGGCCGCCGCGAGAGAGGTCATGGCTTTAGCATCCACGCAGTTGGCGGACTACCCCCTCTCAGCGCTCGCAGTGCCTGCCTTGCTTTCGGGGCCGTTCTTGCAATATTACCAGACGCAGAAGAAATATCCGGACCTTGGAACTGAAATGGACCTGTCATACCTTCGTTTCGGTTCGGTGGGACGACCGGGGCCCGGGTGCCCTGTCATACCGAACCGTTGAGGTTCGGTACGACTGTTGAGCCCAAACGGCTTTGGATTCTCCGTTTTCGGAACCCGAAAGGCAGGAGGGTCGACCCGAGCTCTCGGGCGGCGTAACGGGCGGCACGTCGGCGGTTCCTCCGGCGCCTCCTCCGAGGTGAAGAAAAACGGACCAGGGGAAACTCGACTGCCCTAGGCTTCCTCCATTCATTCAATAGGCTGAATCTAAGGATTTGACGCAAGGTCAAGCGCAACCATTTCTTAAAAGGTCTTGGAAGTCTAGGGCTGGAGTGTTTTCATCCGATCTTGGATCCTACAGCCTTGAGGATGATCCGCGACCCCTTTGTTTTAGAATCCCCAGATCGATAAGAAGGAACCTATGATGCTTGGGGGGGGGCCAACGCGTCTTCAAACGCGCACCGGGTCCCTTTCTGCCCTGGTTTCGACCTTTTCAGCAGTGTCTCGTTCCAAGCCACCATCAATGGCCCAAGTCTCACCGTGTTTCCTTTGGCAAAATGGTTGGGGACTTGGGCGAAGACGCATCTTCTCACCTTGTTCATGCATTCACCAAGTGACCGGATAGTCGTAGAGTCGGTGACCGTCAGACCTGTGGCGTACCCAGCGGTTTGGTTCATGGGTTCAGTACCCGAGGCGGCAGGCAGAGCCCAACGGGAGCGACTTCTGGACGAAGGGGCATACCAGGGGCCCCCACAAACCATCAAAAACCTGGTTTTCCCTAGCAAAAGACATGGTTTTTGTATGAATGTATATATGCATATGTCTATTTTTCATGGTTTTGAGGGCCACTGGTAGGTAGCTTGAAGTGACCTGTTGCCATACACAATTGGCTGGCCCTGGGCAATCGGCTGAGAAACCCCAGGGCCCCAGGATTTCGAGGTCTGCCTTCTTGAGTCTTTGAAACATACTGATTTCTTCTATTGAATGCTCCCAGGATGGCTGCCGCCCCGTCAGTGGACCTCACAGGGTGCCAGATCCGCCCAAGTAGGATCAGTGGACCTGTGGCACATTGGAAACGAGGCATCCGTTGCAAAATCCAAGTGCTGCCCTTGTTAAGGGTGGCATTCAGCTTTCCAAATCTGCCCACATCCTAACTGCACCAAGCAGCTTGTCATCAAGCAGCTTGTCATCAAGTCACTTCTCCAGTGATCCAGGTTTGTATGGAAGAAGAGTGCCCCTTTCAGAAACCTTGGAACATCTATTCATCTAGTCAAACAGCTGGTTTTCAGCCAGCGGTTGATCTCGTAGCAAAACCCAGTAGACCTGAGACTCAGTGACTGGTTCCAAGGAGCGTCGATTTCTTCCTTGTGTGAGTTGGATTGCAGTGCACCTCTTGGGCACCGCGGGCATCTCTGGTGTCCTCATTGCCATCCTGGTGGGATACCGCCGCTCAGGATGGATGGGTTTTGGGAAGGTAGACAGGTAGACAGGCAGACAGCGGTTTTGGGACTGAGGTTGCAGCTCAAAAACCTCTGCCAGCACCTGACAACTGTCAGGTCACCAAGGGCTCGACTTGTGGTCTAAACAAACCCGCTTTAACGGAGACCTGTTGGAGATGCTGGTGGTTATTGTGACATTTCTTGTTTGACTTGTTTGACATGCCTGTTTTCCGAGCTTCTTGGGAAGGTGATAAAGCACCTGCGTTTTGACGGAAAAATAAGACAGAACAATCACCGGCTCCTGGGGGCTCTAAAGCTTATTCAATTAGGCTTCAAGGCAGTACCAAAAAGGGGTCTTCTTTCTCTGAACAACGACGAAGTCGTTGCCGTGAAGGGTGCACTGAGTCTGTACATGTCTGTACTGACTGAAAAGATGGTGAGGTGAGGTGGTTGGCGTGGTAGAGTTCAACATAGGGTCGGAAACCGCGACGGTCTTCTCCTCGGCGACCGAGGAGCCTTGCTGGCGGCGTCTCGACCGGTTTCGGCCTCCTTCTTTTTGCCGGTCTCCACCTCCTTGGTGGAAAGCTTCATGGTGACCTATACCAGGCGAGGAGTGCGGGGTGACGGCGTTCGGAGTTCGTTGTGGGCGGGGCACTTGATCAATGATCCAGTCGGTTCCAGGTCGCCGGATCGGGATCGGGGCCCTCTTGCAAGTCCATCCATTCCGGATTTGAAGACAGGTCGGCTCAAAAAGAACTGCGTTCCCTGCAATGAACTGAATGACCGCGGAGGGTGATTCTGCCACCAAAAGAAGGTATGTTTCATGTATTTACAGACTCTTCTGTGTATAAGTACAAGATACAAGTGTTCTGTGATTCGCATCATCATTTGCACTAGCATTTTTGCAGCATTTCTACCTCTGCAGAAGAAACATCAAGCACGGACCACCATACCGCCCTGGTATGCAGTTGTTCTGTGTTCTGGGTCCCCCCAAAGGCGACAAGAATAGGATGGGTGACCAGTCCGCCGCATCATAGCTTGACGATGTCTTCCAGTTCTTTCCTTTTTCCCCAATAGCCATGCTATGGGGTCTTGCAAAACTAATAGGCGGACGGGCTCCGTCGGGTCACCGTCAGAGCTGGTGGGCGGATAGTAACCCGGTCATGTTTTGATGGCGTCCGGGTCATGTGATGCTGGTGTCTCGGTCATGTTTTGATGGTGTCCCGATCATGTTTTGATTGTGACCCAGTCATGTTGTGATGGTGTCCCATGCAGTCCTGTTTTGATGGTGTCCCGGTCATGTTTTGATGGTGTCCCGGTCATGTTGTGATGGTGTCCCGGTCATGGTTTGATGGTGTCCCGGTCATGGTTTGATGGTGTCCCGGTCATGTTGTGATGGTGTCCCGGTCATGTTTTGATGGTGTCCCGGTCATGTATTGATTGTGTCCCAGTCATGTTGTGATGGTGTCCCGGTCCTGTTTTGATGGTGTCCCGGTCATGTTTTGATGGTGTCCCG